TCTGTTGCAAACATGAGGCTACGTATCATGCCCTGGAGTCACTGCAGACGAACCTCCATGGTCACAAGGACTAAGTAGTGTCATGATTTGAACATGGGTCAATATGTTATCCATCATATTCTCGACATGTCTTACCAAGTCACCACAACCCAAGTGGTTAATTCTATTGAACTTGATCACCTCAATTAGGGTTTAAATGATTAAATTGGTATGCTGATTGTTTAGTTACATAATTGACCGTTTAATTGACTAAAGTAGCAAATATGTTATTGACTTCGTAATAAATGTTGATTGACATAATGAAATCTATTGGTATGATTGTTGGTTTTCCAAACTTATGAGAAAATCACTTGTGGTTGATATATTATTTGAATATTAATGCAATTCTCACATAATTATTAAAAGCTTGTTCAATAATTATGTAGTGAATCAGTTCCAACTAAAAACGTTGTTTTAATTGGATAATTTTGTAACTTGGTTGAAAAAATTGTAATAAAGTGCTAGAGAAAAATGATTTAGTATTCAATAAGCTTATTAATGAGTCTGGTCAAACTAAAAAGAATTTAATTAACTATTGCACAATCACAACTTATGATCACGATTTTCCAACAATTACATAATTATAATACGAATGTTGATTAATTTGTTTTTACTTTATCATTTTTTAAGTTGAATTAATACATCCGGTTTCTAGTTTCTAGTTTGAATCCCTTTTATGTAGTTAATCATATATTTGATGTTGGATTGATGTTCTAATCTAGAAATTTTAGTTTCATTTTAACTGAACGTCAGAATGTTAACTAGGTTCATGTTGGCCGCTTGAATTAGAGTTAAATTTTCTTGTTTAGGAACATTTACATAATATTTGATATGGTCTTTTAATTTTATTTTTAACAGCTTGTTTAGGTTAAATTAGGAGGATTAGGTTTTGTTGAAAGAATTTGTTTTGGTGAAACAACTTGGTAAATAAAAAGATGATAGAGCTTGCTAGTACGGGTGAGCAAAAACCGCACCGCAACTAAAATTAACCGCAAAAACCGCATAAACCGCAATCGATTAACCGCAACCGCAATAAAAACCGATGGTGAGGTTTTCTGTTTTTCAAAAACCGCAAATTTGCGGTGCGGTGCGGTTATTAGTTTTCGAAAAACCGCAAAAAAACCGCACCGCACCGCATATATTATATACAATTTTTTTATTAATTATTAATATATTAAATATTAAAAATAAGACAAGTTTCATGGATGAAAGATTGATAAAATAGTAGAAGACAAAAGTGTTGGTTTTTTGTGATGTTTAACTTTGAAAAATGGTGAAATTAAACAATTTTAAGATATTTATTGTTAATTACTATTGATTTGACTTTTTAAGATATTAGTTGTTTGTGATTTAAGTTAATTGTCTTATACCTTATGGTTTTTTTATTATTACAAGTAATATGTTTGAACCCTTAAAGTCGTTTGAGCTCCAAACTGTGGTTAAAAACCACACAAAATAACCACACCAAATCCATGCGGTTAATAACCGCAGCACATAAAAAACAAAACCGCACCGTAAAAATAACCGCCTAACCGCACCGCAAAAATAACCGCACCAAACGGTTTTGAAAATGGATTAACCGCGTTTGCGGTTAGTGGTGAGGTTTTGGCTAATAACCGCACCGAACCGCACCGCGCTCACCCCTACTTACTAGTGTCTTTTAGTACCAACTTAAATTAAAATCCGATTTGACATCGCTTCATATTTAGTTTGCATAATTTAGTATCGTATTGTTTTTATTCTTGTTTAATGTTAATTTTATTTGCATAATAGAGATACTTTTAGTTTAATTTACTCGTTTTCAACATCCTTTATTTATATTTTTACATTTAATAAACACATGATTATTTTGATTTATTTATAGTTTAAAACCAAGTCTCTAAAGATCAACTTGTTTGCTACTATCACTATGGATTTGAAATCCAATAGTCATTGAGTTTGTAGAGAACACTACACAAATGTGTGAACTTTTTTAGATCTTGAACTACACTAATATTTGTGTGAGAACAATTTTAGATCTTGAACTACAATCATATTTATAGCAACAAAGTTTTGTATTTATGCAAAAAGGTAAAGGTAAAATGAACTTTAACAATTATATTCTTCAATTAATAAAACCAATAAAAAATTAGTAAGACAAAACTGCAAAATGGTCTTTGTAGTTAGCCAAAAATTGTCACTTTGGTTCAAAAACAATTTGGACTAGTCCTATCGTTCTAAAATGGATTTTTTTTATTATGGTTTTGGTTCCCGACATGTTTGGGATTTGAATAAGTTTAAGGACTTAATTTGTCTTTATATTTTTATTTTTCATTTTCCATTTTTTATTGACTTTATTATTATTTTTTTATTAAAAAAACAAACAAAAAAAGGAATCTAACCCTACCACACATATACCCCTTTATTTAACCCCCCTCTCTCTCTCTTCATTGTTTGGCCACCGACACAACCTTACTCTGTTTGTCGCCACTGGCTCTTCCATGGTAGTCAGACGTATCGCTGCCCTTCTATTTCCCATGTCTACAAACCCTACCTCCGGTGAAAAAGGTGGTGTTAATCTTGTTCATCCATGGAATTTTATGTGTTAATCCATGATATTCACACACAAAATCGACAACACCTCCGTTGTCGGATATGAAAATCCTAAATCTTTGGTTTGAAAAACAAGACCATCACACATAAGAAATCGACACCACCTCCATTTATTACTGTCGAGGCGGATTTGCAAATAGCGGTGGTCCAAAAACACTAGAAGAATGTGGAGAGATAAGGAAACAATGAGTCGGTAACACTAATTTTGCAGTTACCGACGAATGATGCTTTGAAAACCATTAAAGTAAACCTAATGCCGCCCTTATCTTCATCGGTAGCCCTAGGCTTTGAAACCCTAGCTAAAGTAAGAGATGAGGTGCTTGTGTTTTTAGATCTTTGAGAGAGGGAGAGAAACAAGATTTTTTATCTAGGTTTTTAGGTTTGTTACGAGAAGTGATGATCTGACGAGAAGAGAGAGGGTGGGACTGATGGTAGGCTTTTTTCAACAGATTTTCTCTCTCCTTCAACGAGTGGTGGTATTCGCTCTGTCTCTCTCCGTCGATGACACTAAATTCCTCTATTTCCTTATCCGACTTGGCTATTGGTGATCATTGCTTTGTCTCTCTCCTTCTCCTTCTCTGGCAAGTTGTTGCCTTCGTCGGAGCTAGAGGTATGGTGATGACAATTGCTATAGATCAAGTCTGCAAATTTAAGGTTTAAGTGTTCTTGATTAGAGGGAGAGAGAGGAGGGTGGAGTAGGGGTGATTCTTTTTGTTTTTTAATTATTGAAATATAAAAGAAATAGAAAAAGAAAATGATAAGGACAAATTAATTCGTTCAACTCATTTCAAATCCGCCAGGAACCAAAACCACAATAAAAAAAATTCATTTTAGACCAGTAGTTTTTGGACCAAAATGACAGTTTTTGGCCAACCATAATAACTGATTTTGCAATTTTGTCAATTAGTATAAAGCAAGATTCTAAAAAGTTCGACATGTGTCGAACTAGGTTTATACTTGACACCACATTTTAGTAAAATGTCGCCCTATATATGAAAATGAATAATAATAGAAAATATGTATAAAATTATTAATTATATAAAAAATCGCCGCCTTAATTCATGCCTTACAAATGACGGACTCGCCACAACTCGTAAAAGCTTGAGGCTTGAAATTGTCGTCAAATTACGCCTAACTTTATTTAGAACATTGGTAAAAATTAAAGAGATAATATGAGTAAATAGTAACCAAAATTTATAAATTTCAACAAAGTACCTCAATTTTTTTTTTACAAAATGTCTAACAACCAAGTTTAACTTTTGCTTCATTATTGTGTTTTTTTTTTCTATTGCTATAAATCTTTATTTATGTAGCTGTGACGAGGAGATATGATGTGACATGTTTTAGTGAAATAATTTCATTAAATTAACCAAGTTTCAACTTTGTTCTAATGTTATGAAGTGTTGAAACATTACAAAGACAATATCATTAAATAACCAAGTTTTTTTTCTGCATAAAAAATAACTAAGTTTAATGATTGTCGTTAGACTATTTTAAACAACCGAATGATTTTATTAGCAAAACTTGGTTACTATTTAGTAATAATGCCCCAAAAGTAAATGTAAACTTCTGGTGAAAACTCTAAACTTATATTAATTCAAGGTTCTTGATATCAAATTTGGTACCTCAACAACAAGTGATTTATCTTCCAAGTAATATTAGGATCAATATTTAGGCACATATAACAACAATGTTCAAAAAACAAAAAAAATTAAACATGTAGTTGGATAATTTGCTTACATCTATGGTTATTGCTAGATTCTTATTATGTATTGTGAATTTTGTTGCACATTATACAAAAGAAAGCCTACACAATTTGTGAAAATTCAAGTCGAAAACATAAGATATATAAATCTTCCTAAATGTCAACAACAACCATGCTTTGTTTTCATGTAAATAAGGTTCTAATCCAATAATTAGCTCCATATTTGAATCCCAAATGAGATTCTGATAAATGGTTCCATATAATTTCTCTGTTAAGTTGTTTCTTTTGGCGTTAAGTCAAAAAGAAACACTCATAATAACTTAAGCGATTAAGGAGTTGTTTCCTTTTGACTTAACGAGCTTAATATGTTAAGCACTTAATTTTGACTTGTTAATTTATATCTTATAAATTCGATTATTATTTGTTAAAAGTAATATATTTATTTATAAAAATGATCTGTGATTCATAACAGATCTCAAATAAACATTCACCATCATTTCTATAAAGAAGGGTAAAGTGATCATTTTCTTTTTTCAGACTACCAAAATAGTCCCAAAATTGTACCATAAATGAAGAAAAATAAGAAATTTTAGGGAAATTGCAATCACTTTCACTTCAAATGAAAAAGAGCAGGAAAAATCCTATTCATATGATCCTTTGAAACGAATCTAAGCAAACTATCAAGCGTAGTTATTTGATCACTATACAAATGCAAATCCATTATCATAATTGATCATTCATCACAATCAGAAACCAAATTCAACCCAAGTATATCTAAGATTACAAGAAATTAAAGTGAAGAAACATACTGTCAATTAGGTGATTTGAAGGTAGAAGTCTGTGGAAGTGAAATCGGACCTCTCCTTGATTCATTATCATCCAAAAGCCTTTGAACCCTCTTCTTAGCACAATACTGCCTATCAAAATGCTTCACCTACAATACAAAATCATCAAAAACATAGATCATGACTTCTAGCTAACTTTCCTGATCAAATTAAGCCGTTTGATTGCATAATGAAAAACGCAGATATTGTTAAAAGAGGGGTTTTTTGGTTGAATTACCCAAGTGCGACGACAGACGTTGTCATAATCTTGTCTAGTTTTCTTGCATTCGACAGGATATAGGAGACCTACAGAGGCGATTTCTGTGGGTTTCTTGTTCGATTCTTTCTCTAGGCATGCGTAGAATGCATCGCGAGCCTAGTAATTAGGGAAAAATTTGACGAAATTTTCAGATATTAAAACGCAATCACATGTTGTGTGACGGATAGTTACCTTGTAGCAAGCTTGTCTAGCGTCAGAGAGGACGTCCGTATGGATTTTGTCCGGGTATTTCGAGGCGTATGCTTCCATCGCCATTTTCGTAGAAATTGCTTGTTTCTTGCTCTGTAATCTGTATGATGATCATTTGGTGGGCTTTTGCCGCTGATCACAGCAAAATGGTTTAAAATGGGCTTCCAATTTGGGCATAAAAATTACGATTCATGGCCCATCTTCAAAAGAAAGCAAATTAACAATGCATCAAGATTCAAGACATAATCAATATCGAAGTCATCAAGTCCCTTTGGGCTTTTGACAAATAGATCTTTGTGTCATAAGACCATCCACAGCATCTTTCAAGACACATGCAACGCCAGATATTTTAAGCTTACGATAATATTTATGTCTAGGTATATAAAATTATATTTATATTAATTCTATGAATGAATATTATATTATAACTTTTATGTTATTATCAAGCGTAAAACATAAGCAACTAATACCAAAAAAAAAATTATTAATTTTTTTTGAAATGGCAAATCTAATTTACTTTTAAATCACTCATTAATTTCACATATGTCCACTGCGAGACTTAAACCCTTAACCTTAATGACGGAAGGCAACACCGGATACCACTGAGCTATAAATAGCAAATTAATACATAAATATTTAAATTCTAAGATATTAAATGATTATAAATGTATTTGAAATAGTCGATGATGTGTAAGTGGGACCATTTTGTTAGGAATATGAGTATTGTATTGATATAAAGGTTTATTGCAAAGCTCACATGAAAAATTAGTCGGCATTGTACCAGTGTGAATGATCGGATTTGTAAATACGACACCATTTATAACGTTACAGTAACAAATAATATTTAGCATGTGTTAAACATGACCAACAAAACTGATTCTGAGTTTCCAAAATATTCTGTTTATCGGTATTCGATCACCTTTTCCTTTTTGTATATTATCAAAAGTTATGTGTTGTTGTACATTCCTTCGTAACAAGCATCCAAATCAAAACGATTTTAACAAGTAAAATAGATTTGTTCATAGGTAACTACAAAACTATGTTAAGATTGGAATTGCAGGCGGTCGATGATGAATCATGATATATGTATGCATGTAGAACATCATGTTACGTGTTGTAAATATATTCGGATCATCATAATTTATATAAGAATTTGTATATGAGCCTTTTACGACATAAATGTTAACATTATTGATTTAATATATGAATATTCGTCTGTTATGCAGAATATAATAATATAGTTAAACTATTAATAAATCTATATAACGTTATCTTTGTTATTAAAATAACTCTATATTTGTCATTAACTTAGAATTTACACTAATTTGTTATAAAAAATTTCTAATTACTTTCAATATATGATAACATAGATACATATTAAAACCATATCATTCCAATAGATGTTATTAGTAAGATGTGCATGAAAATAAAAATAAATTTATTTTTGATTTATAGTTATTTTTAACTATTAATGGTTAATCACTTTAAATAGACGTCTTTTATTATCATATCATTTCAATAAAATATATATATGGAGGCTTAGGTTATTTACTATTACATTTAATGTAATATGATAACATCCATAAAAATCAAGTCAAATTTAAACTTTTTAAAACATTTAGAAACCAATATTTATTACAAAATTGTTTTCAAAATAGTTCCATATCAGAGTATCCCAGAAACATAGTCATAAAATGTGAGGAGTTGTACGATCACACATTTGCCTTCCCGCGATCATCTGAGGTACCTGAAACCAAAACTGAAACTGTAAGCCCGAGCCCGAAAATTAGTGAGTTCCCCCAAAATAACCATACACATATAATCACAAACATCATACTATGGGTCCAATCAACCTTCGGGTTGGAATACCCCAGGCCCTCAACCGTCAGGTTGGAATGCCACTCATACTATAGGTCCAATCATCCTCGGGATGGAATAACCCAGGCCCACAACCATCGGGTTGGAATGCCCTCATACTACGAGTCTAATCATCCTCGGGATGGAATACTCACGGCCCACAAACCGATCTAACTGATCATACTAGTATAATATCATCCTATCTACCAGGATACTGATCTACAGATCATAGCAACATAATACCATCCTCTCTACCAAGATGCTAATCTAACAGCTCATACTAGCATAACATATCAGAGTCACAATAAAAAAAGGGTCGGCCTTGGTGCCTTAGACCCTTGAGCATAGTGAGGAAACTCACCTCACAACCGTCGAACTGAAATGATAAGCTCAAACTCTCGAACCACCGCCACTAACTCCACCACCTATAGTTACCATAAGACCATTTCCATAAATTTCCAAATTACCAAAATACCCCCAGAGGTCAAACTGGTCAATCCTCGGTCAAAGTCAAAGTCAATGGTCAAAGTCAACATCCCATGTTGACCCAACTCGTCGAGTGCAGCTAGCAACTCGTCGAGTTCCTTAAGGGTTCAGAAGGTCATAAAAACTATCACTGACTCACTGAGTTTACCACCAACCCGTTGAGTCTGTGCGTAATCTGAAGTCGAGGAAACCCTAACTGGCTCGTCGAGTCACCCTACTTACTCGCCGAGTCCATACAGAAACCTTCAAGGCCAATCTTCATCGGACTCGCCGAGTTGGCTATGAAACTCGTCGAGTCCCTTCAGTCCTTTCTCCATCCAGACGATTTTTAATCCACTTTTCAGCTCCATAATGCAGATCTAAGCTCTTAAGGCATACTTCTTACGTAAAGTTGCAAACTTTACGTACATGCAAGGTGATAATGGCCCAAATCAAGCTAAAGAAAGGTTTTTGTAGCACCTGGTTCCCGATATGAATTTCATTCGAGTATTATTCATCTTTTGGCCTAGAACTCGGCGAGTTAATGGCCAACTCGACGAGTAGGAGCGACTTGGACCCGGGAGTTTAATGACCTACTCGACGAGTCGGCAGCCAGACTCAACGAGTAGGCCCTAACTGGACAAAACCCTAATATAAGGGATTGCACCCTATTTAAGCATCTCATTCAGCCTCCCTTCGTCCCTATTGCTCACAGAACACCTCCTACTGAAACCCTAATCGTTTTTTTTAAGATCTAAGGCCTTTGTGGTGGTTTTTGATGATTTTGGAACATAAGAAGGAAGAGAAAGGCTTGAGGAATCAAGAGGAGGCCAGAGGAGTTCGATTTGTGCACCCACTGCAGTTCTCTAGAGGTATAAAGCTGATACCTTGCTCTTTCATGTTTTAGATCCCTTTTTGGGGTGATTTAGGGCTTTTAGGAGCCATTCTTGGTGACCAATCATGAGTGCAAGCATGGTTGGGGGATAAGACTTCAGATCCAAGGTCTTTAAGGGGTTACAAGATAGAAAGGGACTGATTTTGGAGCCTTAGAGAGCCCCATGCATCTTAAGAGTCTCATTTAGGGCCTTTTGAGCTCATAGTCCCATGCATGCACGTAAAGTTTGTAACTTTACGTGCTAGATCGATCTTAGAAGCCTACATCTATCTTTTGATCAAGTGTTGTACGTCATAAATCGAGGAATAAGACTTGGTCATTCTCGACTCGACGAGTCGTTCTTGGGACTCAGCGAGTCCATGGCTTGACTTCCCTTTTCTGTTATGGTTCGAAGGAACCCAGTGAGTGTTAGAATGGTCTTAGAGGGGTCCGGGGGGAATGACCCAGCGCATTGGACTTAGCCATAGACCTGGGAATCATAGGACTCGGCGAGTGTATGAACAGACTCGGCGAGTCCAAGGCTATCTCCCAACCTTCAAAGATGAACTCGACGAGTTGTTCATACAACTCGGCGAGTCAAGGGCAGGACTTGTTCATAGGATGAGGATGAACTCGACGAGTTGTTCATACAACTCGGCGAGTCGGATGAAGGTTCATTCGAGGTTGTTTTAGAAGGAGAACTCGTCGAGTCATTGCTAAACTCGACGAGTAGTAGCGTGAAGAAGGACAGATGAAAGGATAGGGACTCGACGAGTTGGCGGCCCAACTCGGCGAGTCAGGTCAACTGGAAGTTGACTTTGACTTTGACTTGGTCAGGGGTAAAATAGTCATTTTACCTTAAGAGTAGTTATCAGTGTCTGATTAAGTGTTTTATGGATTTATAGCCGAAGGATCACCGGAGCAGCAGTCAGACATCTGCCGATCAGCTTTTCAGCAGTCAGCCTTGCGAGGTGAGTTACCTTCCAGTAGAAGTGGGTCTACGGCACCAAGGTCGGCCCACTAGTAGATGTTTAGCTGAGATAATTGTCTTTGTGATAATTGTCTGGTCGGCTATTGGTTGATATGCGAGTATGCTAGTTTGCTTGATATGTGGCTATGCTAGTTGTTATGTTAGGTGGTATCAGTAGAAGGGGACTAGTCCCCGATTCGTTCGATAGGACCAATGGGTACGTCGGACATCCCAGAGACGCCTGACAGTATGATAGAGATATGACATTATGCGTTAGCAGTAGGGGTGAAATAGTCCCCGAGTCCGGTTGAAAGACCGAAGGGTAGGTCGGCACCCCAGAATAACCTGACATGGGTAGGTCAGCACCCCAGAACGACTTGACATGGGTAGGTTAGCACCCCAGAATGGCTTGACATGGGTAGGTCAGCACCCCAGGATGGCTTGACATGGGTAGGACGGGCGCCCCAGAATGGCCCGACAATATATATATATATATATATATATATATATATATATATATATATATAATATATATATATATATATATATATATGCTATGTGATTGTATGGTATGTGGTATGATGGGGGAACTCACTAAGCTTTGTGCTTACAATTTTAGTTTTGGTTTCAGGTACCTCTTCGTCTAAGGGGAAGGAGTCGGCGGTGTAGCAGCGCATCACACACACACATGATTTCCGCATGGAGTTTTATGGGATTGTACTCTGATTTATTTTACTTTGACATTATGATTTTCAGACACATTGTTATATTTTTGTTTGCAAATGATATGGCATGGGAAATGTTTTGGTAAACTATGTTGAGAATTACTTAATTAAAAATGAAAAATTTGGGCTTGGAATTTGGGATGTTACAAGTTGGTATCAGAGCCCTGGTTTGAGTGATTCGGACACACCCTCGGGAGTGTCTGGACTCAAACCGAGGGATTTA